GGCCATCCCTATATGGGATCCGAACCCGTGGCCTTGGTGTTATCAGCACCGCACTCTCCCGAGTGAGCCACGGGCCGGCCCCCAAGGCAGGTTTTGCTACAAGAAATCCTTGCAGTTTAGCTCTGATGTCTTCCTAGTTCTCCCACCTAGACAGTGCAAAGCTGTGGAGCATGCTGGAAGCTTGAAAAAGGCATGGAAGGGGAGGGTGATATACTTGCAAGCAGGCTTCAAAAACTAAGGTCTCAGGGCTGGCTGGTTAGCTCAGTTGGTTACAGAGTGGTGTTATAACACCAAGGTCAAGGCCAGCTGCCAAAGAAACCAAAAAACCCCTGAAGGTGTCCCATTTTACTGGTATCAGAATTACTTGGAGAGCTTGTTAGAAAGGTAAATCCCCACAACCTCCTACCTCCAAAGTGTAGGACAGTTGGAGGTGCATTCATGTTGGGGGAGAAGAACTGATGGATTACACCTGAGGCAAAAAGATTAGGGAAAGGCAAGAATAGAGAAACAGAGCTAAAATACAGGTCTAGGAAAACATAGGTGGAAGTGAGCAGAAGCACGAAAGAAAAGAACCATAAAATGACAAGCATGGCTCATGGAGCTGGGTAAACAGCAGCAGCCAAGCATGTGATCTCAGTGAGAAAGCAGCATATTGGCCCGAGGCTTCATAAACCCTGGCCCTCCCTGAAGTCTCTAAAGAAAAGAACCATAAAATGACAAGCATGGCTCATGGAGCTGGGTAAACAGCAGCAGCCAAACATGTGATCTCAGTGAGAAAGCAGCATATTGGCCCGAGGCTTCATAAACCCTGGCCCTCCCTGAAGTCTCCGCTTCCAGAACACCAAGTTAGCCAAATGAAAGTCTCAAAATGTTCCAGAATATTAGATTGGGAAAATGGGATGTGATCTCAGTGAGAAAGCAGCATATTGGCCCGAGGCTTCATAAACCCTGGCCCTCCCTGAAGTCTCTGCTTCCAGAACACCAAGTTAGCCAAATGAAAGTCTCAAAATGTTCCAGAATATTAGATTGGGAAAATGGGCTGACATACAAGAATGTCTGCAAGGTGGGCCAAGTATAGCCCAGTAAACACCCTTGTGGAAGCACCAACTCTGCGGGGCTCAAGATCAGACAGACTTCTCCTGGCACCCCTAAAAGAGGGGTAAATTCCCCGGGCAGAAATCTTCTGAATACAGTGAATCCAGCCTGGAGGGAGCACCTTCAGCTTGGTCAGTGTCGGCTCTGGCGCTTTGCAATCTCCTCCTGGATACGCAACTTGAGGGCCTCTCTCATGGGAGGATCCAGAGGCGTGTGTGCTGACACCTCCTCAATCACCCTTCCTGGGTCATCGTCCTACGTGGAGGAAGAGTCAGGAAGCTCAGGACCTAGCCTCTTCTGGAAAAGTGACCTGCCCTGTCCCTAAACACTCTCACTGAACTCCATTTGGTTCAAGGCTTCTTGCCAGTAGTTGTCATTTTCCAGATGTCCCTTGTAATAGTGCTTCTCAACTGGGCACCACAAGGCCTCCCTGTTCCCCCACTGAGAATTACTGTGTGATGGGAGTGAGTTGTGCTTGAAAACATTGCCCAGCAGTCCTAGGCTCCCATGTAGAGCAGACACTTCCCACTGGCCCTGAGGAAAACAGTGGTTCAGGGTCTGGCAGTGATTTCTACCACAGCCCAGGACCTTCAGGTTGCAGCTGTTTCCACAAGGCGTACCTGATACACGATAACTGATGTGACCTCTCCACTGTCCGCCTCGTACTCTAAGCAGAAGAGCTGATGGCCAGAGGGCTCCAGCTCGGAGCCACCACTACTGCTACTTTCACCGGACTCCTTATAGTCTGGGTTGACTGGGCGGGTAGAGCCATCTGGAAGGATGAACCACAGTGAGAGGGAAGAGAAGGATGCTGCTGAAGCCCCTGCCCAGAGATGATGCAGGAAAACATACTGTAAAGAAAGCCCCAATCCTCTTATGGGTAGTGTGTGTGTGTAGTGTGCCATCAATCAGTTTTATGTACCTTTGTATCCCTGCTCTGGGGCCAGCACAGTGCTGTCACAAAGTAGGTACCCAACGGCACATATGTTTAGCGAAAGCTAGTGAAAGGGTGGACAGAGCTCTGCATGGGTTCAAATGCAGGCTCTGCCATTTACTAAGATCTTAGGCAAGTTATTTAATGCTTCTGTGCGTTTCCCGACTGTGAGACAGACATAATCATTCTCATCTTATAGATCTCTGTGAAGACTCAGTGAATACATAACATCTAAAAGCTCTTAACTAGGACAAAGACCATTTACTGGATTCATTCCACACTTATGTTCCGGTGGCTTATAGCTGTGCCAAACTTTCCCCCTGCTAGGTAGCCGGAATAGTAAAATACGGTATGGTGGGGCAAACCGACAAACAACTTCTTGCCGGCTCCCAAGTCCCTTCTGTAACAGTGATGCTTAATGGGGGCCATGAGCCCTCCCAGTTCTCCGAGAGAATCACTGAGCGGATTTGGAAGCGTTGAGGTGGAGGCTCCGGGAAGGGACGAGGTAAGCTGAGCCTTGGGGGGTAACAAAAGTGTTCTTCCACTACAGAGAAGGGGAGCGCGTTGCAGAAAGGAAGAGCGCGCGGGTTTGAGGAGGCAGGCTGGGCGGGCGGCCTCACCTCGGCGTCGCGGCAGGTAAACCTGCAGGTCGGGCTTGCGGGGCCGCGTCGGCGCGGGCGTGTGCCGCCTCCTCGCCTTCTCCTTGGCCGCCTGCTTCACCTTCTTGTCGTAGTCGTCCCTGCGGGGAGCCGAGCGGGAGTCAGGGACGGCCGGGCCAGGCCTGGACAGGGGTGGCGGGGCGGGGCGGTACCGGTCTATCTGGTTCCGACGGATATGGTGCACGAAGCCGTGGCTCATGTCCAGCCGACCACCAGGCTTGCAGCAGAGCCTCGGCCCGGGGTCCGGCGCCGCCTCCATCCGGAGCCCTACGTGCAGGGCCGCCGCCTCTCAACGGCCCCAACGGCCGTCCACCAGCCCGGAGTGGACCCGCGCCACCCCTCACTTGGCTTCCGGCCCCGCGTTCTGACTTCCGGCCCAAGAGAGCTGGGCCTGGCCGACCGTAGCCGCGCGCGGAGTTCATGGAGCGCGTGGGGAGGGTGTGGGGCTTCCACCGGTGGACCCGCGCCACCCCTCACTTGGCTTCCGGCCCCGCGTTCTGACTTCCGGCCCAAGAGATCTGGGCCTGGCCGACCGTAGCCGCGCGCGGAGTTCATGGAGCGCGTGGGGAGGGTGTGGGGCTTCCACCGCCCGGGAGGGGCTTTTGTTTTTTTTCTAACATCGTCAATAGGAAACAAGGATTTCGCCTTACAGCTGAGACATCAGAAAATCCAGAAAAATGCCAGTCACCCATTAACACCACTCAGCGCTGGGTGTGGAGGCTTCCTGTCTTTTTTGGGGGGGAGGATAGGATGCTGGGAAACCATCTCCAGCCGCGTGACCTGAGCTGACTCTGTGGCGGCCCCCCGGCCGCACGGCTCCGCGAAGGGTCTCCCGGCCCAGCGCCCCAGCCCCGCCGGGGCCCGCGCTGCCCTCGGCCGGCCCACCTTGGCGCCCACGGCACCGAGGTCTTAGCTGTCTCTGCTGGAGCACCCAGAGTGCTGGAGGGGATTGAGCGTGGGTAATTTTCGAGTCATTAAAAAAAAGGCAACATCAGGAATTCATAATTAGAAGAGAAACACACCGTGGCAATCCAAAGGAACGAGCTGTCCATTCGCTCAACCGCAGGGATGATCGTATGAGGGAGAGGCCAGGTGAGAAACTACACATCGTGTGATCCCATTTATGTAAAATCCTCAGTTGTACAGAAAGGGATTCCCTGAGGGCCCGAGGACACTTTGAGGGCTGAACAGGTTCCTTCTCGTGATTGTGGTGATGGCTTGATGGATGTGTAATACGTCAGAATTAAGCAAATGGCACACTTTAAACGTGCAGCTTATTGTATGTCAATTATGCCACGATACGACTGTTCAAACAAACAAACAATAACCTGAAGTTAGAGTTTGCTTAGCTTCATGGTAAATCCGCCTCTGCAGGGCGTTTGCATTTTCCTGATACCAAGGACCTTCTAAACGTGGGCTTCGGCTGGCCGGTTAGCTTAGTCGGTTAGAGTGTGGTATCGGTAACTTCAAAGTCCAGAGTTCAATGCAGGTACCGGCCAACTGCAAAAAAAAAAAAAAAAAAAAAAAGTGACCTTAGATATTGCTGTATGATGGGATGATTTGGGGATGTCACCTGGTTTTTCTGTGGAGGGTCGTCAGTCACCGAAGCAAGGAGACTAGGGGAGGCGCCCTCCCGAATGTGGTTGCCGAGCACAAAGTATTGTGAAGAGATCGGGGGCCAAATGAGAACTTCTTTTATTCAGCTATTCAGAAAATTCCGTGGCCAGCAAAATGTTCCTGTCTCTTTAAGCTGGAAATGCTGGATACTGTGGCAGTAGGCCCACAGAACGTTCTCAGGGTGCGCACGCAGCGGTGAGGGAAGTACTAGACCACAAGTTTGCAATAGCGTGATTTGTCCCCATCGGTGACTCGTAGAGAGCCTCGGGCTCGATACCAGCTCCGCTCCTGATTGGCCGCGTAGTGCGCGCTTGAGCGTGCCTGGCGTCTACGCTGGGCGACTCGGCCGGTCGTGGAGATGTCTGGCCGGTCCAAGCGAGAGTCTCGTGGTTCCACCCGCGGGAAGCGTGAGTCTGAGTCGCGAGGCAGCTCGGGTCGCATTAAGCGGGAGCGAGATCGGGAGCGGGAGCCCGAGGCGGCGAGCTCCCGGAGCAGCCCAGTGCGCGTAAAGCGGGAGGTGGAGCCGGCGAGCGCGCGCGCGGCCCCGGCGCCAGTAGTCCCGGCAGTGCGGGTGAAGCGGGAGCGTGAGGCCGATGAGGACTCGGAGCCGGAGCGGGAGGTGCGAGGTGCGCGGGGCCGGGCCGGGCGCGATCTCTACCTTAGCGTGCCTCTTTTTTCTCTTTCTAACCTTCCGCGACTTGCCTGCTTGCGAATAGGGGGAAATCCAGACTCGACTGCTTTCTAATAAAGATAATGGTAGTCTTATTAATCGTAGTTGTGATATTCCTAACAACAACGATAATAGTAACAACAGCACTTTTCCTTTATCCAGTGCCTAACGTGGGGCAGACTGTGCTAGTTATTTTGCAGGTGTTAACCTCCTTCAGTTTTTACCAAACGACTTAAGTGTGGAATCCTGCTGTAATTTTTGGAATTAACCTATTGAGTCGAGAGCTTAAGCGCTAGGCACTTGCACTAAAGCAGTGGTTATGTACCACTTCTTAAGGTGAATAGTGTTAGGAGAGAATTCTCCATGGGTCGCTCGAGTTTCTGCACATACTGCAACCAGAGACTGACTGCCTTTACTACAGACTGTTTTGTCAAGGATGTTCGCATAGTGAACAGCCTCGGAAGACAGATGGTGTCCTCCTACAGAGAGGCAAGCCCACAACCCGTCATAAAAGATTCCGGTTCTCTAAGCTCAGGGTTTCTCTCCTGTGAGGCAACCCACTGTGAGCATGGGTTCTTTTCATGTTGCCTTGTGGGAATTGACGTGGGGAACTGACATCGATGCTATACATTCTGACTGCTGCTATTGCTGTAATAAACTGTCCTTTGTTTCAGACCCAGTAGTCGCAAGTCTTCCATCAGCATCCACGAAACTGTGGCAGGCTAACTTGTTAGCTTGCAAATAGGGTAAAATCTCAGACCGTTTACAGTTCTTGGCAAGTTGTAAATTGAAGAATGTACAAGCACACTCTCCTTAACTGTATTTGTGCATTACATTCAGTTTGTCTTAGTACCTGTGATATAATTCATGATATTTCTGCGATTTTTTTTAATGGCTGGCTGGTCCAGGGATTGAACGCTTGACCTTGGTGTTATCAGCACCATGCTCTAACCAACTGAGCTAACAGGCCAGTCTATCTCATGATATCTCTCATGCTTCATGGGATTTCTTTATGTAATGTGCAAATGAATCTTTTGTTGATTATGTGTGTACAAAATATATTCTAGTTTGTGGCTTGTTCCATTATTGGACGTTTTTGGATGTGCCACCTGAAAAATAAGAGCTCATCTTATGTAGGAACTCATTTTATGATTAGTTTTTCCCATTTTGATGTTTGTTTATTTGTACTGGTAGTTGGCCTTGAGTACAGGTTTCCCATTTTCTTTTTTTTTTTTCCTTTTTGCCTTTTTTTACTGACCGGCAACGGGTCCGCAACCCTCGGTGTTGTGCCTGCACCGCGCTCAGCCAGTGAGCGGGAATTGGTCTCCACATGGGATCCGAACCCTCGGCGGGAGCGCCGCTGCGCTCTCAAGTGGCGCACTCTACAGTGCGCTCTCAAGTGGCGCACTCTACAGTGCGCCACCGGGCCGGCCCCAGGTTTCCCATTTTCAAAGCATGTGATGATTTTCCTTTCAGCAAAGAATGGCCGTGTGGATTCCGAGGACCGGAGGAGCCGCCACTGCCCATACCTGGATACCATTAACAGGTCAGTAGGATAGAGATGCCAAGCATAGCAAAAGAACAGTGGAATCTATGCAGAAAGTTCTTTGGATGGTACAGTGAACAACACATTCACAAATTTTGCTCCTTTTAAAGTTTTCAGCCCAGAGAAGTGTGCTTCTTGCCAAGTTTATTAGTCTTTGTCCTTTGATTTCAAGTGGCAGAGTGCATGTTGTTGAAGTGTCAGAGCACATGTTGTTTAAGGATGGCTACGTGCATAAAGAGCTTTTAGCTCATTTTGAATTTTTGTGTTGGAATAATGGGATACGTACTGTCTTTAAAATAACAGTGGCAAATTTAAGTATTTGTTGAACACACTATACTAGGTACTATTCTAGATGCCTGGGATTTAGCAGGAAGAAAAAAAAACATAAAAATTTGTTTGAAAGCAGAGGTATTTACCTCATCATGGTATTTTCTGCTTCCCACATGGCATGTTAGAGTGCTTTTCAGCATATATTTGAGGATATCCCTGTCTAATAGAACTTTCTGGGGCCGGCCCGTGGCTCACTCGGGAGAGTGCGGTGCCGATAACACCAAGGCCCTGGGTTCGGATCCCATATAGGGATGGCCGGTTAGCTCACTGGCTGAGCGTGGTGCTGACAGCACCAAGTCAAGGGTTAAGATCCCCTTACCGGTCATCTCTTAAAAAAAAAAACAAAAAAAAACTTTCTGTAATAAAGGAATTGCTCTTTATGAGGGCTGTGCATTATGGTAGGCACAAGCTACGTGTGGCTATTGAGCACTTTACATGTAGCTTGTGCAACTGAGGAGTTGAATTTTAAATTTTATTTAATTTTTGTTATTATTATTTTCGGTGGCTGGCCAGTACTGGGATCTGAACTCTGACCTTGGTGTTATCAGCACCACGCTGTCCCAAGTGAGCTAACTTTAATTATTTTAAACTCAATCATCTATAGCCATGTGTGGCTAGTGGCCCCTTTGTTAGACAGTGCAGCTCTATGGATCATTACCAATAATTAGAGTTAATATTTGAGAAGAAATCCTTTTACCACCTGTGGATTCAGCAGAGGTAAAGTTTTTTGTCCCTTACTGCCCATTACTCACCAGTACTCATCATTACTTTGTACTTGAATAAATAGGTATTTGTAGGTATTCCCCTAAAATTCTTTAGACTTCTCATTTATTTTTATGGACAAAAACACATTTTTCTTTTATAAAAGGATTTATTCACTTTTTATGTCTTCTTACCCCCAGAATGCTGTTGGGGCCCTGTTACTTTAGTCTTACTAGTAGCTTTCACTCCAGATATAGTGACTGCACTGGAAGATCCTCAAGGGGTTACAAATAATGTACTAACAAGAGAGAGGATCATTGGCATTGTTGGAGACACCTTGGCATTGCTCTGGGGCATGGTGGGTAAAGGTGAGGAATAATTAACGTTCTCCATGGTTAATATATGATTGTTGAATCATTCTCTGAAGGATGCTGTGTGACATTGTGCAACAGGAAGCCAACACTGCTTCATTTGGGTGTCCTCCTGGACATCCATTCCTATTAATTGTTTTCTTTTTCTGTTTTCTCCTCTTAGGAGTGTGCTGGATTTTGACTTTGAGAAACTCTGTTCTATTTCCCTCTCACATATCAATGCATATGCCTGTCTGGTGTGTGGCAAGTACTTCCAGGGTAAGTAAATGTTATGAATCATAAACTTGTTTTCAGAGCTAGTCACAGGTCTCCTCCTGAGAGACTTTTTTTTTTAATTTAAAGGAAGTAAGCTTTGTGACCGGTAAGGGGATCGCAACCCTTGGCTTGGTGTTGTCCGCACCGCGCTCAGCCAGCGAGTGCACTGGCCATCCCTATATAGGATCCGAACCCGTGACAGGAGCGCCACTGCGCTCCCAGCGCCACACTCTCCCGAGTGAGCCGTGGGGTTGGCCCAGAGGTGCTGTTTTTGGCATGCTCCTTGCGTAATAACTTCGTATAGCATACATTATACGACCCGGGTCCCTGGGTGGGCCCTGAGGTACTGGCACAGTGTCCCTGGTTATGGGAGAGAGGTCCAGTCCCCTTCTTCTTGCCTCAGGTCCCTGGGCAGGCCCCAAGGTGCTGGCCTGGTGTGCCTGGGCCGAAACTAATTTTTTGTCCTTTGCTTCTAACACGGGGGAACTTCCTGTGGGAACCAGTACTTGAGCTGTGTGGTTGTTTAAATAGGTACTTTGCTGCTGTTTCCCTAGGAAAGGCTTTTTGTGGCAGCTCAGGGTTTAATGGATGATCTTATAGGTACTTCCGGCTCTCCAGAGACTTGGTGGATCTGTGTTCTGTAGAATCTCTTATCTGGGCCTGAGTTTTTTCATCAAACTGCACCCCATGCAGTTCTGCATTCCTGACCAGTCTCCTCTGAGTGGTCCTGTGCTGATTGGGGGGCAGATCAGCTGTCCTTGCTGTGTCCCAGTGTTCCCTTGGTGGGCACGTCTCCCCCACCGCCCGTGCTGCAAACACTTCCCATGGGATGGGCCCTGTGCCAGTCCCTTGTGATGACTCACCAGCCTCTGAGTGGCTCCCTTTTTTCAGCTGTTCTGGTTCCTCGCTCCTGCGTGGGTCCGCGGGAACCCTATTAGCGGTCTTGCTGTCCTGGAGGCCTCCAAGGCCCTCTTCTCTCCTGCTGCCTCCAAGTAACTCCATCTGAAGGTCACAGCTGCGGCTTCTCCTGGCTCCTGCTCCATGTGCTCAGCAGCTCGAGCCTTAAAGCAGCCGCAGCCCAAAATGCTCAGAGCAGCTTTTTCTTTCTCTCATCATAGTTTCTCATGCCTTCATGAACTCTGTAGGTCTCTCTTCCTCTTCCCCTGAACTCCAGTAGCCCTGACTTGGCTGATGTTACATTTTTAAAGTTGTAAATTTGATTTATTTGTGGGAGAGAGTGGCGCTGCGGTCCATCTATTCCCGATAGTCCTAATTTCTGATACAAGGGTACTTCAAAAAGTTTGTGGAGGGCCGGCCCGTGTCTCACTTGGGAGAGTGTGGTGCTGATAACACCAAGGACATGGGTTCGGATCCTGTATAGGGATGGCCGGTTAGCTCACTGGTTGAGCGTGGTGCTGACAACACCAAGCCAAGTGTTAAGATCCCCTTACCGGTCATCTTTAAAAAAAAAAAAGTTTGTGGAAAAATAAGGTAATATGAATGTTTCCATTAACTTTTTGGAGTACCTTCATATATATGAAGCTAGCATATGTATATATATACATATATAAAATATTGAAACTAGTTTTCCCAACCAATGTCTTATGCCATCTAGGGAATGAAGTAACTAATGTGCTATTCTTTCTTGCTAATTTTTGTGGTGAGAGAAGTTCATGTGGGAGATTCATTTTATGGATGGCATAATACTTTGTTTTGCTGATACAACATGTTCCAGTACAAAGTAATGGAAGCAAAGCAAACCTAATGTGGGGCCGGCCCCGTGGCTCACTCGGGAGAGTGCGGTGCTGACAACACCAAGGCCACGGGTTCGGATCCTATATAGGGATGGCCAGTTTGCTCACTGGCTGAGCGTGGTGCTGACAACACCAAGTGAAGGGTTAAGATCCCCTTACCGGTCATCTTTAAAAAAAAAAAAAAAGACAAACCTAATGTGTGCCTTTCTAGGATCTGCCCTTCTCTTATAGCTTTTCACCATTCCCTGCAGGCCGAGGTTTGAAGTCTCATGCCTACATTCATAGTGTCCAGTTTAGCCATCATGTCTTCCTCAACCTCCACACCCTCAAGTTTTACTGCCTTCCAGACAACTATGAGATCATCGATTCCTCGCTGGAGGATATCACGGTTTGTGTCTGGGAGGGCTCGTTTGGGGGCTAATGCTTTTGTAAGTCATCCTAGGGCTCCTGGGAACTGTCCCTTTGGGCTTAGAGAGGCTTATTTCTCTTTGGGAGGAACCAGGGAAACTGGCTAAGGAGGTCAGAATTCATAATTGCAGCCTGTGATCTGCAACGTAGCTATAATTTCTCTTTTACCATCAAGGGCTAGGACTGAAGAAATATTGCTCCTTTCTAAGAGGAGTTAAAGTGCATTTGTGAAATAAATCATCCCTTCACACTTTGGAGAAGGGATGTGAATTGGGCCTGGCATGGGAGAGTGGATTCCAAGCTCCATAATAGCTCCTGGCTATTTCTGACATGTGATGTAGCCAGAATGGCCAGCATGTCCCATCTGTGGGCTCCAGTTTGTGTCTTGTGCCAAGAAACACTCATTGTATTTACATGGAAAGCATGGGAAGTCCTCTTGGGCTTTATTAGTGCTGGACTGTTTATTATTATTTTCCTTTTCAGCAAGTGGTGCATATTTATGGTGCTGAGTGCTCTGTTTATTTTTTAAGGAAAGCTTGGTGTTCAGAGTCTTTGAAATATTGCTTATGCTATTTTTAAAGCTTTTGTAGGCCTATTAATAATTGAGGTTAAAATAGTTATGGACAGTATTTACTGAGTGAGAAACTGGAATAAATCCAAAGTTTCAAAGTGAGTTCAAGATGACCTCTGTCCAGACAGTGACGTTATGACTTTTGCGGTTCTGTGACTGGGAAGATTCTGATCCTGCCCCTCTAGTCCCAGGGAGTTATGGAGACCCTCAGTCCCACCCAGAGGGGAGGAGGCTCTCCTGCTCGTGAGCTAGGTACATGTGCTGCTCTAGCTGAAGTTGCTTCTGACACTCAGACTCCTGCTCCCTTCAGAGACTTGAGTATCCTATAGTTTCTGGTAGTTATTCATCATAGAGCTGACCAGACCTGAGGTCTGAAGAAGGATCTGAAGTTCATTGATTTTGGGTTAAACACAGAGATCCTCTTGTAAATTGGCAATGTGAAGAAGATCTGCCCCATGTTACTTAGGTCCTTATACCTATTGATAGGGGGTGTTTTGGGGTGTGTGGTGGGATGTTGACTGAAGTGTTTTTTGTTTTTGGCAGAAATTGCTGTTCCAGACATATCTTATAACTCTAAAGCACCTTAGAATTTTCTTTTACTTTGCAGTACGTGTTGAAGCCCACTTTCACAAAGCAGCAGATTGGAAACTTGGACAAGCAAGCTAAATTGTCACGAGCATATGATGGTACTACTTACCTGCCAGGTATCGTGGGACTGAATAACATAAAGGCCAATGACTATGCCAACGCTGTCCTTCAGGTAGGATCAAGAGAGGAACACTGGGGAACAGAGGATAGCTTGCAAACAAGTGTTAGCCAAGAAATTACTGCCATTCCCCAACTGGTAGATAAAATTTAAAGAAAGAGTACAGTCATATGGTCCCCATACACTGAGTCTTGCTGATGAGCGTACTTGAGTATTCTGTAGCAAGCAGAACATTACTGCCATTCCCCAACTGGTAGATAAAATTTAAAGAAAGAGTACAGTCATATGGTCCCCGTACACTGAGTCCTGCTGATGAGCGCACTTGAGTATTCGGCAGCAAGCAGAACATTCTTTTTTTTTTTTTTAAAAAGATGACCAGTAAGGGGATCTTAACCCTTGACTTGGTGTTGTCAGCACCATGCTCACCCAGTGAGCTAACCGGCCATCCCTATGTGGGATCCGAACCCTTGGACTTGGTGTTATCAGCACCGCACTCTCCCGAGTGAGCCACAGGGCTGGCCCAGCAAGCAGAACATTCTTACGTCTGCTCAAGGAGCTACTGTCAAATGGTGAGACTTTTTCCAACCTCTGGAGCTTCCAGAGAATGATGGACAGAGTCTGTTGCCTGGCAATATCAAATTAAGAAACATGGTAGGTGCATTTTCTTTTTTAATGCCGTAGCTATGCCTTGTGCTAGCTATCTGCTGTCTTATACCTCTCCCTGTGCTTATATCCTGAATGGGAAAGGCAGAAAGCCGAAGTTGTCTTATACTTAATTAAAAGCTTTTTTTTTTAATTACTTCAGTAATATGTGCACATTATAGAAATGTTAGTAAGAAATTAGAAAATGTTGGTAAGCATAAGTAAGAAATTAACAATAATTCCACGTGACCAAGAAGAAAATTGATTTTCAAAATTTACAAACATGGGGTCCGGCCTGTGGCTCACTCGGGAGAGTGTGGTGCTGACAACACCAAGTCAAGGGTTAAGATCCCCTTACCGGTCATCTTTTAAAAAAAAAAATAATAAAAATAAATAAATAAATAAATAAATAAAAGATGANGTGGTGCTGACAACACCAAGTCAAGGGTTAAGAGCCCCTTACCGGTCATCTTTTTTAAAAAAAAAAATAATAAAAATAAATAAATAAATAAATAAATAAAAGATGACCTTGACTTGGTGTTGTCAGCACCACGCTCAGCCAGTGAGCGAACCAGCCATCCCTATATGGGATCCGAACCCGTGGCCTTGGTGTTATCAGCACCGCACTCTACCGAGTGAGCCACAGGCCGGCCCTACCAGTCATCTTTTAAAAAAAAGAAATTACAAACATAAATATAGGCTTATTGGAGGGAAATGTATAAATTATAAAATGAAGAATTTATTCCTTTCCTTCCCTAATATGCTGTCCTGGGGTAGTTAACAGTATATATTTAGTGTTCAGACCTTTTTTCTAAATTTTTACACACACATACATAATATTCTGTGGCAACATCATGATTTAGTTTGCCATTCCCCAATTGATAGATAAAATTTAACTAATCTCATATTTTTTTCCCCTATTACCAGTGCTGTAGTGTGTCTTTCCATATATAGTCTTTCATTTCTATGACATTGTTATATTTTGTTGTATTTATTTCCTGGGCTTTTAAAATATACATAGTTATTTTAAAGTAACCTAGTATATATATGTATTTTTATATGTGGTTAACTTAAAGGTATATTATGAAGTCAAATATTCTGCAGCATTCTTAACGATTGCATATTATTCCATTTTACTGATGAATTATAATTTAGGTAGCCATCAACTGTTCTAGTATTAATGCATCTGAAGCCTATATTCTAGGCTGTAGGGTTTGTAGCAACTGACAAACCCACCAGCAACATAAAAGAGTGTTCTTTCATCTTGCATTGTCACTGTTACCATTGAAAAAAAATTTTTTTGATCTTGATAGGTATCTCCATTTTAACTTACAATTTTTGGATCACTTCTAAAGTTGATTATTTATATTTTTTTCCATGAGTTGTTGGGCTTTATGTGCTCATTTTCCTATCAGTGGTTCATCTCATTGACCTTTAAGAAATATGAATGAAGATATTATTAGTTGTATATGTTGCAAAAGTTTTCTCCCACCTCTAAGTTGGCTTTTAAACATTTAAAAATGATATTTTTGCCATAAAAAAGTGGGTAAAACATTGTAAAGGCATATTTATTATTATTTTTTTTATTAATATTATTCTTTTGCATTCTAGGATGTTGCTGAGTAGTTGGGAGAGACAGGGAGAGGAGAAAAGGGAAGGAAATGGGATGGAAGGAGGAGGGGCAGGATTGAGACCTGTGGCACCCCCCTCATTCCTACAAGGGAGACTGGGGGGCTTCCAGTGGTGGCTTGGTTATTGTCAGGCTTAGTACAGATGTCAGGGGTGTGTGGCAAAAGCCCTCACCACCCATCATCCCAGCTCAGGAACTCAGGGCCCTTATTGCCGTGGCTTGGTGGTCATCATTGGGCTGGCAGCATGTGTCAGGGGAACGTGGCCGAGGCCCTTGTCCCCCACCTTTGGGACTGGTTGCAGGTGCCAGGTGCCATGGCTGAGGCTCCCGGCCCTTCCCCCTTTCTGGCTTGGTGGCGCAGGGGACTTCTGCTCCTTCTAGGTGTTATAGGTGTTCTTTGGTGAAATGAGACCTTTACTAACTTTATTTCTGGTTGTGGGTACTTTGTTTTTTCTTTCAGTTCTGTTTTGGATTATTTGCTGTTCCCACCACTGAAACTGCACTGGGACTAATTTGTTGTCCTTTGCTTACTTCTAAAATGGGAGAACTTCCTGTGGGGACCAGTACTTAAGCTGTGTGGTTGAGCTAAATTGCTGCTTTGCTGCTGATTCCGTACAGAAGGCTTTTTGTGCAGCTCAGGTTTTAATGGTTGACTTTATAGGTATTTCCGGGTCTGGTGAGATCCAGTGCACCCGGGTTGTGTAGAAACTCTGGTATGGACCTGAGTCTTTTCATCAAACTGCACCCCATGCAATTCTGTATTCCTGAACCAGTCTCCCGTGAGTGGTTCTGTGCTGGTTGGGGTGCAGATCAGCTGTCCTTGCTGTGCCCCAGTGCTTTCCCAGTGGGCCCATCTCCCCCACTGCCCGTGCTGCAAACACTTCCCGTGGGATGGGCTGTGCTCTGGTCCCTTGTGATAACTCACTGGCCTCTGAGTGGCTCCTTTTTTTCAGTTGTTGTGGTTCCTCATTCCTATGTGGGTCCACAGGAACCCTATTAGTGGTCTTGCTGGCCTGGGGGCCACCAAGGCCCTTTTCTCCCCTGCTGTCTCCAAGCAACTCCATTCAAAGGGCACAGCTGTGGCTTTTGCCAGCTCCTGCTCTGTGTGCTCAGCAGCTCCAGCCTGGAAGCAGCCATGGCTTGAAATGGTGACAGTGGTTTTTTCTTTCTCTCATTGTGGCTTCTCCTGCCTTCATGCACTCCATAGGTCTCTCCTCCTCTTCCCCTGAGCTCTAGTGGTCCCAGCTTGGCTGTCGTTGCTTTTTAATAGTTGTAAATTGGTTGATTTGTGGGAGAGAGTCATTCTGGGGACCATCTATTCCATTATCTTGACTGGAAGTAGGTCCCATAGCTGTTATATTTGATGTCTGCTCTTGCTGTTATGCCTAGTCCCTGGAAAGGTCAAATTCTTAGGTGCAGAGAGACTTGAGACTTTTCCTCTTATAGCCTCTCATGGCTTTGTGAAAACTATTATAGGATGGACAGACAGGATTTGGATATGGTTAGGGTAGTTAATGTTGGCTTTCTGATGAATTTTAGTTCTCTTTATAGGAACGTCTCTTATTTATTTATGAGTGTGTGTGTGTGTATATGGACAGACAGGATTTGGATATGGTTAGGGTAGTTAATGTTGGCTTTCTGATGAATTTTAGTTTTCTTTATAGGAACGTCTCTTATTTATTTATGTGTGTGTGTGTGTGTGTGTGTATATATATATATATTTTTTAAAGATGACCAGTAAGGGGATCTTAACCCTTGACTTGGTGTTGTCAGCACCACGCTCACCCATTGAGCTAACCGGCCATCCCTATATGGGATCTGAACCCGTGGCCTTGGTGTTATCAGCACCACACTCTCCCGAGTGAGCCACAGGCTGGCCCCAAGGTCTCTTATTTATAAAAGTAAATTGATGAGCAAACCCTGTGTGATGATGTTTCCACTGAAACAGGGTCGAATGGACTAGGTACTCCCTCTGGAGGCTAGGTAATTCCTGTTAGGATGCCTACTGTTATTTGTATTGTTGCTGAAGCCAGAGAACAACCTCTCTCGACAGATGGAGAACAGAATCAGGATAATCTTTATCAATATTCTTCTCTTTTTGAGAGTAACTCTTTTTTAGTAATTATTCTCCAAGCAGGAAGTCCTTGTTTCTTTAGCTGAAATAAGCTTGTAGGGGCTTTCCTAATTATGGTTATGGTGCTCTCTGTGTCTTGAGTTGTCTTCTCCTGAGATGCCTGGACTTCTTGTATTTAACAGAAACCCTTCTATCTTAACTTTCTAAATGCATTAGCTTGCCAAAGAAATGTGTTCATGGTAAGCACTGTATTGGTGAGGATTCATGAACCCATCAGGAAGGACCTGTAGGAACACCGTGCTTTTATTTAGGGTCTGTTGCATGGCACCCCTCCCAGTTTTATAGCTCAGAATAATGGGAATATGTTTCTTCCTGAAGCTAATATGGCTAGTTTTTATCTTTTTGCTTAATGAAGTCAAATTTATTTTTTGTTCCGCTGGACTTTTGATCATTTTGCATCATAACAGAGTACATTTACTTTTATATGCAATTTTATGGTTTTACTATAAAAAACATCAAATTTTATTAAGGTGATTTTTACATTATTTTAGTTGGAGTTGAGAGATGGGGGAACTATGTTCCTCACATAGTTATCTCTGCCCCAACTAAAATGGATGATGAAGAAACAGTATTTGGGTTTCTAGCCTTCAGTACTTTATGAATTTAAATATTATCACAAGCATAATTAGAGTAAAAAAGGAGATTACTAAATATGTCGGTCAGTGGATAGGGATTTGAATTCTTTTTTAAAAAACTCCTTTGTGATATATATGTCAGCAAAGTGTCTCCAGAATTGTACTTCATATGAAACTCAATATGAAGGATATTTCTATAATGTGAGCTATGGTAAGATTCTCCTAGGGTCCATTTACTTCTGACTCTGTAAGGCCATCACAGGCGGGTTCTATTAGAACTACAGTTGGAAGAGCTTGTCTCTAAGTAGTCCTGCAAAGGACTTTTGGATTAACTGGAGTGTTTGATTTCCAGGCTCTGTCTAATGTTCCTCCTCTCCGGAACTACTTCTTGGAAGAAGACAATTATAAGAACATCAAGCGTCCCCCAGGGGATATCATGTTTTTGTTGGTCCAGCGTTTTGGAGAGCTGATGAGAAAACTCTGGAACCCTCGAAATTTCAAGGCACATGTCTCTCCCCATGAGATGCTTCAGGCTGTTGTCCTTTGCAGCAAGAAGACTTTTCAGATCACCAAACAAGGTAAGGAACAAATCATTTGTGTTTCTCTGACTAGAGGACAACAAAACTGGTTTGATGAACAAGTTTATTTCTACTTTGCAGTGAATCTTGATAGTAGCCAGAAGTGAGTGTCCAGTAGGTAGCATGGTGAAGTTCCTCACTTCTCTGTGGTCAGTCTGCCTTGTTCAGAGTCCCAAGAGATTCCAGCTGAGTAGAAAGTCTGTCTTATTTGGTGAACTAAACCATATGGCTTAAGGGAAAACTAGGAGGCTGGGAAAGACACCAGCCCTTATGAAGTATCCACCACCTGTGCTTCTCATTTTGCCATGTCCCCCACACACCAGCGTATTCTGAACTATTTTGACCATTTTCATCTCTCCAAACCCAATGTGTTATTGCCTTGTGAGGAAAGTGGACACTGTAACTCTTTGTACCTGGATCTCACCTGATATCCTCTAGCATCCACATCAGCCTATTCAACATTCATTCTTTGGTGCTAGGGTTTGGAGCTGTGGGGATAAAAAACATGACTTTTCTCTTTCAGGAGCTCCCAGTGTAGTGGGGAAGATAGTTATGTAAAAAGGTAATCACAGGGTGTTATGTGCTGTGATAGAGGATGCAGGGTATGCAATGGGAGGGAGCACGGAGCAAGGACCCCTAGTTGAACATGCGGGAGGTAGGTTGGAGGTCAGAATGGAGGAAGAGATCTCTGAGTTTTAGGTAGAGGAGGAGGAGCAAGGTTGGAGGTGGGCATTCCAGTTAGAGAGGACACTGGGCAGAAGTGTGGAGGTGCCCGGCACAGACAGAGGCTGCAGGTAGCTGGACCCTTGGATTCCAGGGATCAGTAGAGAACTGAGGTGGAGGTGGGAGGGAGGAACTAGACTGCCCAGTTTATATGCCACTGTAAGGAGCCTGGATTATATCCTGATGACAGTGGGAGTCATGAAGGCTTTTAAGCAAAGGTGTAACATCAGATTTATGTTTTAAAAACATTATTCTGGCTGAGGAGTGACTTAGTGGGGAAGTTCAGTAGTGGCTTTAAGAGGGGCTTTTAAGAGTTTTTTGAGGAAAGGAGAAGTAAAGGAGAATCAAAGTGTAGGTAAGGGACCCTTGGGGTTTTAGGGTAGTAGGAAATAAATACTTTGGGATGGATAATATATATTAACCTGAAGCCCCATGATTTATCCCCAAATAAGTAGCAGTTATTAAGATATTTGAGCATGGCTTTTGATGGTGTTTGGTAGTTTACAACATAGTCAATAAAATCTTAATCTGAGTACCACAACCTTCTGAACAGGTGACAGCCAGGTTGTGTGCTGTGTAGGACCACTGAATTCCCAACCATTAGGATGGCTAGTGTGTTTTCTGTTTATCGGGACATTTTTGTTTCCGGCCAACTCTCTGAGGTCCCAAGTTCTTATGTTAAGGCTGCATCAAGGTATGAAAGATTTGCAAGAATGATTGTTTTGTGAGCCGTGAGTGGATGGGTCAGTTCAGCATTCACAGTGCTCCAGAGATGACTCCTGGCCTGAAGGTGGATATTGGGGCCTTTCCACTTTTGACAGCATTGGGAAGATAAGGCATAATTGGTGGTAGAGTTGCAGAAAAATCAGGGTACCCTAATAATAAACTTACTCAGTTTCTCTTGTTATAGCCACTGGTGGGTATAGGAGTTATGTTGTCACGTAAACAATTTCCTCAGTCTGTGAGACCTAGCAGTTTATTCGTTGCCTCGTGTTTATTTTTTTTATTTATTTTTTAAATTTATTTTTATTTTTAAAAAAGATGACTGGTAAGGGGATCTTAACCCTTGGCTTAGTGTTGTCAGCACCACGCTCAGCCAGTGAGCGAACCGGCCATCCCTATATAGGATCCGAACCTGTGGCCTTGGTGTTATGAGCACCACACTCTCCCAAGTGAGCCATGGGCTGGTCCTTGTTGCCTAGTGTTTAGACCTTTGAAGGGCTTCTTACTGGGATAGTTCTTTGTTGTCACATAAAAGCATTCTGTGTGAAGGGAATTAAAGGAAAGTCAATCTATGGAGTTGTCAGAGGTCTTTGGGATTAGGGAAATGAAGTTAAGGAAGACACATTACAGTCTTTGAGATTATAACTGGGTAAGCGAGCAAAGAGAAAGTAAATAGAAACAAATCTCATTTGGTGAGAGAGTAGCCATTGTCCCAGAAATATCTGGGTGGCAGGCTCCTTAGACACCTTAAGGAGCACTCCTTAAGACACTCCTTATTCCGGATCAGGAATATTACCCATGTGCTTCTTCCGAGAACGCCTGTTCTAGGTGCCTCTAGATGTCTTGTTAGTCCTGGTGCTAAGAAAAGTTGCCTTCCTGCAGGACAGGAATCTTCGTAAGCTGGAGAAGGGAAGAAGGAAGTCTGAGTTTACTCTGGAGGAGTGGATAGTCAAAGGTCATTATTTTTGTTTTGATCATCACTGGATGATGAGATACCAGTTTGGGTTAGAGATGATAATTGAAAGCCCTGATATGGGTCAGAGGGTCTAGGGAAAGAAGAAAGATTGGAAGAGTAAGAGCTTGACCTTGAGTAGTCAATAGCCATATAGAGCAGGATGCACTGGGGAGGGGACGTGTGGTCAGAGGGGAAGGAGGAAAAGCAGGAATGTGGAGTCAAGCCGGCCAGTGCACGGTTCTGGTTACTCCAGTGCCTCACAGCTTCAATGTGTTTCATCCTTCCTTTTTTCCAGGGGATGGAGTCGACTTTCTCTCTTGGTTTCTGAATGCTCTGCACTCAGCTCTGGGGGGCACAAAGAAGAAGAAAAAGAGTAAGTCATGTTACTTGTGAAAAGGAGCTCTTTTTTGTTCCCTTTAAAAACTTTGCAACTTTCCATCCTTTTGTTCTTAACTGTTTATCTTTTTATGGGGGAGGGCGGTAGTATCTATTGCGTAGACAAGCTAAATTTTCTTCCTGAATAGGCCTCCTCCATATTTTCATGTTGGTAGATGGTTATATTCCCAATGGTATTTTTAATAAGCAGGAATGGATACAATTGGCCCCTTGAAATCCTGACCCAGTTTCAAACCGAGGGGCTGGGTAGCATGTTGTAGACTCCTGCTCTCCTGCTAATGCAAGATTTAATGTGAGGAGGACTCAGTGGGTGGTTTGCCTGACTTGTAAGTTGAAGGTTAACGCAGACAAAGCTAGTTCCTCACCCCGAGTCTATACTTGGAGGAGTGAGGCTGGCCTCCTACACAGTCTCAGACTTGTAGTCCCTCTGTCCCTCAGCAACCATATTGCTTAGCAGTATTTAGATGTTTTTCATGAGGGCCAATTGTAACTATTAGCTTATAGGCTGCAGAGCTAGGTCAGTCATTTTGGAGAACTAATGCAGTTTTCTTGTCTTCTTTCTGTGTTCTGATAGCCTTGATGTGAGATTGTGGCCTGGTGTTCTTCCCACTAGATAGCCCTGACCCCTCTCCTAGGTGTCTTCAGCCTGTGATCACCTTCTGACTTCTCTAACTTAGGTCCTAGCAGGATTCTAGAACCTGGTTGTGCTTTCCATCTCATTGCTTTGGTTCTGTTCTGTTCCATCTCTTAGTCTGTCATTTTCATTTTGTGTTGAATTCAGGCTGGACATTGTCTTCCTTTGCAGGCACCATATGGTTAAGGAAAGTTCTTGGCTGTGCCCTGTTTTGCTGGTGAATTTTTGTGATTCATGTATCTCCAGGCTCTGTAAATCATTCATTTCAAACACACTTCTTCTCTATGGGCCAGGCCCTGTGTCGGAATGTCAAAGGGTGTCTTATGGAGAAGACATAAAATAATTATTTAAACAAATAATTATCAAGGTACCATGGTGTTATATATACAAAGGGAAACTTCTGTGTTTAGTGAGAGCTTTGGGTCTTGAGCTAGAAGATTCTGGTTTACTTCAGAAATTTAGAATTTGGAAATAAATTTTGGACGTGTTTTCCAACCT